GCGGCGCCCCGTCCTCCCCGGGTCTAGGGGCGAGCGGCCTTGTCGTCTCGTTCGGGTGTCCGCAAGCCCTTCCCCAGCAGAGGGAAGTCAGGCGGCGAGCAATGTAGTGGCGCCTGTTCTTGGAAACGTCGAGAGTCCGTGAAGTTGACTCACGTCAATGTAGCATTTTCTGTGTATGTAAATTTGTCTGTATTTGGTTAAAGCTGGAGGCCGTAAACGCGCCTGGTATTTGTGCCATAACACAGCACATGTGCGCATGTGGATGGGTATGAATAAAAGTGAGAACCCCGTGGCGGAAGAAATACAAACACTATGGGAAGGGCAGTCTAAATGCGGCATGCTCTGGACTGGTGTTGGCTGTGCTTTTTTGTTGTTTGCTTTTGTTTTGTTTGTTTTACCTGGGCAAAGGAGCAGGAAAACAAAAAGATTTTAACCTTGCTCTTCAAGTGCATTTTAAAAGGTGAAAGAGACTGCTTCACAACATGATTTCAGCCGAAGTTCAAGCTATTGTACCTAGGCTCAGGAAGAACCTTTTTCAAGGGTGGGAGGTAGTACATCTTGCTGTAGAGTTGAGATGGAAAATGATGAAGTAAGTGACAGTGTCTTGGTCTCGTAGTGCCCAAGCTGCCCACAGTACCAGCAGTAGTTATTTATTTCTCTGACTGTGCAGCACTTGCTACTTCTTCCTACTTCATGTTAGATGGACGTCAGTGGTAGCTTCAGTAAACTTCTTTCATTATGCTTTCTGTTTGGGCAACTGCGATGTTTTTGACATATCAGAGGCTCCCGTCCCATCCCTGTATTCGTACTGACAAAACCGAGAGGGCAGCTCAGGAATGAGAACAAATGCGTGAGTTTAGGGGTTGGCTGAAAGCACTGAACATGATTTTGTGCTTGCCTTCCTCCTGGAACCACAGCCTAAAATGAGGCCTGGTTGTGGCTCCCTGCTGGACTGAAATTTTTTAGCCTGCTTCAACTTTTCAGCTTCAGGTTTCCCATGCTATAAAACAAGGAAAAAATATTTTCTTTATATGCCAACTGAAGGCTTAGCTGATGTTTGTGAAGTATTTTGTGACCCTTGTTATGAAGAGTTGTGAAATGCAAATGAGCATATATCAGTATTACTGAAGGGTTTAACAGCCTTAAAGGTAACTGGACAAGAACATCTTGTTTTCGTTTCAGCATTTTCGCGGAAGGAAGAACCGCTGCTATAAGCTGGCTGTACGAAGTGTTCGGAGAGCTTTTGTGAAGTCTACAAAGGCTAGAAGAGAGAAGAAGAGATTCCTAAGAGCGGTAAAGTGCAAAATGTTAGATGTAAACATTAAAATGGGAGAAGAGCAGAACCGAAATAGCCATTTTCCTTACTGGGGGGGTTCTCTCAAAATGTTTTACCAGTGGGTGAAAAATAGGAGTTAAAGTAAGCATAGTCCCTCTGTGGTCTGAAACAGCTCACATTCTGAAGTTCATACATGTACATGTTCCACTGAGAAGACTGTAGCTCTGAAAATGTTATGTTTACTAAGTGTGAGCAGGTCAGCATGACAAAAGGTTTACTTTTAAAGTATTTTATTATCCAAGATGTTAATTTTTACACTTTTAGCTCTGGATCACTAGGATTGAAGCAGCTTCACTTGAACATGGTTTGAAATACCCAGCTTTCATAAGCAATCTGCTTAAGGTAAGGATGGTGCTTGAAGAATAGTTACTTTGAAACAACAAATGGGAGAAAATGTCTGATAGAGGTCTTCTGAAGTGCCAGGCAAATTAATTTCTTAAAACTCTGAAATCTTTCAAGTAGATGTAGTCTGACAAAACATATCAAAGGGCTGCTGGTTACTGTCTAGGAATGCAACTGCAAAGAACTGAAGCTGCAGTCTCCACTTGCCAGTCTTTGAAGAATAATGGTGGGGACTTCCAAATTGGAGCCCGAGCAGGCCATAGTGGCATAGGGCATGGCGGAGGGATTGAAAAGCTCCTTCTGTCAGACTGAACTTCTGCCAATGCTGTCCTGCTGCCTAGTTCTAGTGATAAAAGGCCTTCCGCTTATGAAAGGAGTTTTGTTCACTTCAGGAACTAAGTTCTGCCCTAAACCCGTTTCTCTTCTTCATATGCATAATCCCCTTTTATCCTGGTGAACATTGTCGATTTACACCTTGTTGTGTCCCCAAAACTTCTACTGTGCATCTTAAGAACGAGACTTGTAAAATCCTTTTACACTTGTTGCTACTGCGGGCAAAGTGACAGCTGCCCTTCCTTTTACTTCAAGAAATTTAAAAACACAAAGCTTGGATTAGCAAAAACAGCCCTAAGAAATCTCTGCTCTTTTCACTGCTAGCTTTGTGTTTCGGTGAGCATGGGCAATGCAGAGGGTTGGTGCCATTGTCCCTTGTTCCTAAGCATGCTGGGGAATTGGTTTTAATTTGTTGATACTGGAACTGTAAAATTAGAACTTGTTTCTCTTGGCTGTGATTATAATAAAAAGGTAGTGTTTCTGCTTCTTAAAGTGGAACTACATATAAATTTATAGCGTATTTCAAAACATTTTATCTGTGTTTCAAATAAATAGATAACTTTCTAGGTTTTCCGATATGCTTAGATAACGTTCCAGGTTTTCTGACATGTTTCCTGTAAAGTAATACAGTTTCTGAAATTTATACACTTCTTTTCTCCTGGTTGCTCTTGTCATACTGTAACCAAAAGAATCAAGCACTGCCTAAAAGCTAACTCATTTTTCTTTTTTTCTTTTTTTTTCCCCCCTCAAGATGCCTGTCCCTTTGATTCTTGTGTCAGAGCGGTATATTTTTGTAAGGTTCTCTGTTAAAAGATCCAAAATAAGCAAACTGTTTTATATAATACCTCCCTCTTAGAGTATGCAGTTAACAGTGCGATATCTAGATTTGTTAAGAGTATTTGGTCCTGCAGTCTTTCCTTCTCTGCTCCAGGACACATTTTGAGATACCAAGCAGCTTCTAGCCCAACAATTAAATTTGAATACGCCTAAGAACTGGAACAAATGCCATGGATTAACCTGTAACACGTGGCCTTCCGTGAAATAAGAGATTCTTCTTCAGTTCTTGGTTTCTACCAGAAAGACTTTGAGAAAGTTTGAGAAAAAAAACAAATTTTACACAGTAGCTTAATGAGACATCCATGGCCGAGTAGTCATTTCTCACAGTTAACAGTTCTCTGACTAATAGTTCCAAAATTGTACAGCATAGAAAAAAGATAATTTGCCTTAAGACCTCAGGTAATCATTAAGCATTGCAGTGTTGTTCCTAAACATTACAGCACTTAACCAACAAATTTTCTTGCATTTAGTCCCAGGTGGAGCTGAATAGGAAAATGATTGCCGATTTGGCTATTTATGAGCCAAAGACATTCAAGTCCTTAGCTGCCTTAGCCCAGAGGAGGAGACAAGAAGGCTTCCTCGCTGCCCTGGGAGATGGAAAAGAACCAGAGGGGATATTCTCACGTATTGTACACCGCTACTGATATTAGAAGAGTCTGCAGATACGTGTAAACAGGAACTTGCATTGCAAAGTAAACTCGCTCACTCTCTGCTGCTGAGATCGTAGCTGGGGAACAAAATCGGCTAAGGATGGTTCCAGAAGGAGGAGGGGGTGGGTCCGGGTGCGAAGCTGGCGCCTTGACGACTTTTTCCCCTGTGGTGGAGTGACTGAAACGCGTCGAGTTGGAAACCGCCGTTCGAAGTTAGCAGGGGTCAGCCAGGCCTGTGGAAGTTCCAGCGTTAGCGCCAGGCGCAGCGCGCGTACACGTTCTGTTCCGCCAAGGACCTAATAAAGGTACTTTTCTGGTAACCGCTACTGGAAAAACAATCTGAGCGGTGGCGACTTCTGGCGCTGCAGGGGCAAGAGCCCTGCCCGGGGGAGACTCTGCACTGGCAGCACGGACCCCGGCAGCTTTGGACCCGGCTTCGGGACAGGCCTAG